GTAGTCTGAAAAGAAACCTTCCTTCTTATCATTCTCCATTTTTCTAGGATTTTTCACTGAACAGGAAAGCCAGAAGCCATCTTTAAAGGATGGTTTGAATTCTGTGCTCTTCCTGTACCCAGTACCACTTGAAGTTCTTTCTGTTATACTGTCAGCTGACAGTGATTTGATGTAGGTTTTGGAGCAGTGCTGACAAGGATTGTTGGGTACAAACACGAATGAGTAGAACAGCCCTGGCTCTGCAATAGGCAAGGGGATCAGCTACCAATTTGTAATGTGAATCAGTGGACCTGACTTGCTGGAGCAGGGTGGGGGACACGTTTCACCTACTTATTGAGCTAATTGCTTATAATAGTTCCTTAATGAATATGCCAAGTGATATGAGACTTCTCCATGTGTTTATTAGCTTATAAATGAGCATCAACATAAATCCGTTGGGTTCAGTTGACTAATGAAAACCAGGAATGGTACACTGAAGAATGTTGCTGGCCTTTCCAGACCCTTCTTACTTGGGAGAGGATAGTCCTCAAGTATGGAAAGTAAACATACATTGACTCTAAGCTCCGCTCAGGAGAGTACTTTTGCAACATGAAGCCTTCCACAGCTCTTCCCTTGCCCTGGACCATCTCTTTCTCTATCACTGACCTTCATTTGCTGCCTGGCAGTTGACCATAGCCAGCTCATTTCTTGGCCTTCTAGACTTGACCACTGGACAGCTGGAGTGGACTTAGTTTTAGCGTTCAGTGGGTAACTTGATTGCTTTTATAGTACATCAAATTAGCTTGATGATATAAAAGATAATTTTTCTTTAATGTTAAATCTTATTAGTCTTTTAGACAGAAAGAAAATGTTTTTCCTTTTGTTATTTGGCTCTCAGTTTCTCTCAGAAACTTGTTCAGGACTGTGTTCAATAGCTTGAGTGGCATTGCTAAGTGTCCTTTGCAAGAAGTGTTGGTTTGTGCTAATAGACCAGCAGCAAGCGGAGTTGATGTTAAGCACCTTTGACATTCTCCTCCCTGACAGCTTGTTCTCTGGACATTTATGGGGACATTGGAGTGCTTGTCCCCCGTCGTGTATGTATATAAACACTTTTTTTTTTTTTTTTACAAATGACCAAGTGTATATCCTTTGTAGTTATGAAGCCTGAGTTAGAGGCCTGGCCCTGCTGCTTACTACGCTCATGACCTTGAGCAAGTTGCTTCACTTTTCTCATGTGTAAAGAAAAGGTAAAACTGTTTCTTAATATTGCTACAAGGTTTACTGTAAGTATGGCTCTGTCAGTACAGTGCTTGGACAAAGTAAAAGAAGGCTCCACTCACTGTTAGCTACAGCTACTGTGAAATACGTACGCGTGGAGTATCCCTACTCACGATGCTTGAAATAAGATTGCTGAATTTTTCAGATTTTGTAACATTTGCCTAAACTTAGGGATGAAACTCAAGTCTAACTTTGAGATATGCTTCTGTTTTATGTACTTCTTCGATTTTCTAGTTATGGATGCTTGGTATATATGAACTTATCATCATGATCTTGTTTTCCATGCTTTATCCTTCATGTGCACCAGAGTTCCTCAGCGCCAGCCTTGCAGTGGGATAGCACAGTAATGCTTTCTTCTTGGAATTGTCTTTCAATGCATTGTCACTTTTCCTGAGATTCTTTCCTTTCCTCCCCTTCAGATTGTGCTTATAGCACCATTTTTCCTATTAACAAATTTACAATGACAATATAACTGCATGGATTTATTTGTCATATCATCTTTATATTTCTTTATAAATTTTTTTTAATTGCAAAGTCATATTTACAGAGAGGAGGACAGAAGAGAGGAAGATCTTCTGTCTAGTGAATCACTCCCCAAGTGGCTGTAACAGCTGGAGCTGCGCCTATCCAAAGCCGGGAGCCAGGAACTTCCTCCAGGTCTCCCACGTGGGTGCAGAAACCCAAGGCCTTGCACCATCTTCGATTGCTTTCCCAGGCCACAAGCAGGGAGTTGGGTGGGAAGCAGAGTCTCTGGGATTATAGCTGGTGCCAATATGGGTTCCTGGCATGTTCTAGGCGAGAACTTTAGCTGTTAGACCTCCGCGCTGGGCCCATCTTTATATTTCAGTTGAGTTGAATATCTGAGCTGGAATAGTCTATAGTTGACAGCAGTATTATTTTGAACTTTGGAATAGTGGCCTAGGAGGACACTGACAGGAAGAGTTGCTCTGGTTTTTTGTTGGCTCTCAAGAACCCTAAGACATTCTTCTCCTCAAATTGATGAAACTCTGAAGAAATAAGAAAATATTTTGGTCCAAATGTCAAGTATGAGTATTAAAGATAAGTGAAGGAAGAGCTCCTCATAGGATGGTGGTATAATTTCAGAAGGTAGGGCTTCAGTTTAGCCCTTGAATAATGCAGAGGTTTAATTTGGTGTAGATTTTCCGGAAGAATTTTGGTGCTGACCATATCAAATAGAAGGGAGTGCTATCTAGTCTTTCCTTCTGCAGCTAATCCTGTTCCAGCCATTTTTTAAGCCAACAGGCACCTGCAGCTGTGTTTATGAGAGTAGCCCTAAAGTCTCCAGGGATTTTTTTCCCTTTGTAAGTAAGTGAAGGAAAAGTAATTTTTCCTTCAGTGTAATTCTTTGGTGGGATTAAGCACAGATTCCTTATATTTCTCTAACCTGTTGCTTTGGAAACATACGTACAAGTCAGACTTTTTTCTGAAGAGGTTATCATACAGTAGGGATATAGGTTGACAGAATTAAAAAAAACTGTGTTGAAAATTATTAGGTAACCATGACATGTTGCTACTTGATGTGGACGTTCTCATGACCTGTCCTCAAGATCCCACGGTGGGAATCTCTTGGAGTCCTCTTCTGTCTGAGTTCTGCAGCTCCTTTCTCAGTAGACCAAGGAGCTGTGACTGACCTTGGCCGTGTGCTGCAGTAGACCAAGCTGCTGTGACTGACCTTGGCCACGTGCTGCAGTAGACCAAGCCGCTGTGACTGACCTTGGCCGCCTGCTGCAGTAGACCAAGCCGCTGTGACTGACCTTGGCCACGTGCTGCAGTAGACCAAGCCGCTGTGACTGACCTTGGCCACGTGCTGCAGTAGACCAAGCCGCTGTGACTGACCTTGGCCACGTGCTGCTGTGCTGTGATTCTTTCATTTTTGTCACACCTTTCCCACAGCTCCTGTGTTTCCTTTCTCTGTGTTGTGGGGAGCTGCAATAACACATGCTGACCTAGGAGACATTCTATGGTCCGTGTTTGTAACGGACTGTTGTAAAATTAGAGCATAATTTGAAAGTCTGGGAAGGTCAGTTTAAAGAGCCAAGTGCCAATAGACTTTTCCATTATTTCTGATGATGTGTGCTGTTCATGATACGGTTCTTCAGAGTACAGGAAATACTGATATTTTATCTGAGTAAGGTATTTTAATGGAGAGTCCTTGCGTGCGTATGTTTCCAAACGTGTCTTAGAGATCAGATGTCTTTTAATTCAGCTTTTTTTTTTAATGTTATTTTATGACTCCATGTTCTCTGTCTTTTCCTGCTGTGTTAAAGTATATATTGAGGGATTGGAAAAAATTCAGAAGCCCTTTTAAGAACATTGCTTTCCTTTTTCCAACTGAGTAGTCACTTTTTATAGTCTTGTTGCCTGAGGATATTTTAATTTTTAAAATGCCAATAGGTCATTCCAATTAAGTAAAACATTTACAAACCTGTTTCCACTGATCCCTGCTCTCCGAGGTTCGTTTTCTTGGGTATTGTAGGGTAAATGAGGTTTTTTGTTTTCATTTTACCCCTGTGCTCTGTTCAGTATGCTTCAAATTTATTGTACAGGTTTTTTTTTTTTTAAGATTTATTTATTTTTATTGGAAAGGCAGATTTACAGAGAAGGAAATACAGAGAGAAAGATCTTCTATCAGCTGGTTCACTGCTCAAGTGGCTGCAGTGGCCGGAGTTGATCTGAAGCCAGAAGCCAGGAGCTTTTTCTAGGTCTCCCACACAGGTGCAGGGTCTTAAGGCTTTGAACAGCCCTCTGGTGCTTTCCCAGATCACAGGCAGGAAGCTAGATGGGAAGTGGAGTCAACGGGACATGAACTGGTGCCCATATGGCATCATGGCTCATGCAAGGAGAGGACCTTAGGCACTAGGCTACCGTGCCGGGCCTGGTGGGGGTTCTTTAATACCTATGATCAATGTGCCTTCTCCAGAGAGAGCTTCTGGCTGCTTCTGTCAACTGTCTGCATGAACCAAGATCAGAGCTTAGGGTCGGAGGGGAGCACTGGGTATAAAATCCAGGTGGGGTTACCTGGTAGCCAGTTTTTAAGTTTATTTTCTTTGCCTTTCCATCCTATTCTGATTTGTGGCCAAGATCCACCTCCCTGCAGTGCTGAATAGCAGGACTGGAGTACTTCTGATTCACTTTTGCACTGAGAACTGGGTATCTGAGCTCATGACGGGAGGGTGTCCGATTCTGCTCTTCTCCTTACCCTCTTCAGGCTTCCCTACACTTTCCTGCTTGTTTCTACTATCTAATAAATCTTCCCATTGTAACATTTCTTTGCCCCCTTTCTCAGATTTTATCTGATTTTTCAGTTATTTCCAACAGGAGAATTAGTTCATGTAACCTAGCCTACAGATATTAAAAGTAGAAATCTTTTGTCTTTAACATTCCTGTGAGGTTTGTGAGCTAGGCATATCACTGGGCTGCTTCGTCAGAGGAGGAAGCGAGTTAAGGTACTGTCCCACTGGTTTAAGAGCAGACGTAGCAGTGGCACAGCCTGGCACTTCTCAGAGTGAGTCTGTTTTCTATTCACCCCAACACCACTGCCTTGAACCTTCTACTGAATGTATTCATAGAATTTTGGATGAAACAGGCATATTGTTGAGGAGGCTTTTAAGAAATGCATAGAACCTTTCCCGAATTATTTAGAACACTGGCTAATGTAGCTTTTTCTAGATGTGTTATTTTAAGCAAAAAGCAGTATTTGCAATCTTCTTTTTTCCTTTCAGCTGAAGTGAGTAGTGAATATAGTATGGAAAAAGCAATGGTTGAATTTGTCATAATGGATCGAGAACTAAACAACTACATAAAAGCTGTTGAATCTGCAATGAATCATGTAAGTTTATACCACTCACCTGGTTATATTTGGTTACAATTCATTGTACTAGAAATAGAAACAGAAAAATCACAATTCTTCTTTAGCCTTTAATGTTTCCTTGTCACTGCTGTGGCAGCTATAAATTTCCTCTTAATCAGGAATCTTAAATATTTTCCCAGCTATACCACCTACATTGTCCTGCATTTCTTCTGTCAAAATTTTTAGTGTAAGTCCCCTTCAAAAGTGACATTTGTATAAGTTACTGACAATAGTGTATAATTTTTATTGTTGTATTTATTAAGCAAACAACTTGGGCAAGTTTTAGTCTTGAGCTTTAACTAATATGCATCTCTTGCAGAAGTTTTACCATCACATATTATGGAAAAGTTTTACAGAAAGTTGAAAGATAAAAAATGTTGGCATTTTGGTTTTTCCATGAGCCAAACTTATCTCTATTGAGTCCAGCTGTCACAGGAATGAAAAATAAGGCAGTTAAGGTGGGAGCGTAGCAACATCCTTTTTAGTAGTACTGTGTTGAGTAAGAAATGAGCAATATGATTGCAGTAATGTTTCTGAGAAGTGCTTTGTCCTCTGACCAGTGGAAACTCCCTGTTCAACTGATTTCATATACCTGTGTAATAGGGTGTCTTGTACTTCTGGTTTCTTTATTTGCTTTTTCTTACTTACAGCTATGGGAAAATTCCAAAAATCAAATATTTAACAAGATTGGTTACTATTCATTGGAAGATAAATTTCTGTAGGTTGTTTAATGCTTTGCACTTTAAGTTTTCAATTCTGTAAACATTTCAATGATGTAGTTATTTCAAATATACCGTAGTGGTATGTTTGTTCAATTTAAGTCTTTGCATTTGATCTGTGTAGAAGACGATGGGACATAAAGAGTTTAAGCCAGTGAAATGAGCAGTTTGTAGTTATGAAGTGTCTGTTTTTTTAATGGTTAATGTTTGTTAAACATAGTATTTATGATTTAGAATATGTGCTTATATCCAAGTAATGAAGTTAGTTAATTTGAAAAATTTTAATCATCTTGCCTTTGCAACTATCACACTTGGTCTTATGAATATTTCTTCCATGGAAAATATGAAAATGACATGATATTTGAAGCTGGATAATAAAGCGCCCAGCTTGGGAGTTAATGGTGATAGCTGAGCCCGGGAGAACAGTTCCTACTCGCAAAGATTTTGATTTCATTGGTTCAAAAGGAACCAATAGGTGAGTGGGTCTCCAGTATTTTCTAGAAATTCATTCTAATATGTGTCCAAAGTTGAAAACCATTGAGTAAAAGCAGAAGTCTGACTTTTAAATGGAATCATGTTTGCTAATAAAGATCAGAGTTAGATCTGTCATATGGAGCAGTTTTGCTTTAACGCTTACATTCTCTGGAGGCTATTTGATAACTGTTTTATTTTCTTACTGTATAAATGCAACCGCACAGTGTTTTATAGATTTTAAAAATGAGATTTAGAAATCAAATAATATAATATTTTTTCTATTAAATTTTAAGATTTGCAGATACTAACAGTTTTATATCAAGTCTAGAACCCTTGCCCCTTAAAACAATTGAATTGTTTGTTAAGAAAAAAAAAAGCAAAACAAAACTTTAACAAAGAAATCCTCACCTTCATCCATGTTAATAGCACTTCTTTCATCCTGAGATCTTATCCCAGTACCTTCACCCTACTACATGTGGAAGATGATACTTTGAGATATATCCTGCTTTTCAGCCCTAAGCTCACTCTAGCCCTAAGCTCTGGATCGGCTTGGGTAACAGTGGTCCTAAAGCTAGTCAGGACGGTCTCTGGTCTTTCAAACTAGGGGGAGCATGTTGGTTTTCTTTTCCTGGTGCAGTTATACTCCCTATGCAAACTTGATACAAAAGGTCAAGAATAGTACATCATAATTTTTATAAGGTTTTTAAAACCAAGTGGATAAAAAGTACTATCCTCTTGAAAACAGCAGAGAAATATCTTAAATACTTTGGAATACACCTAACCAAAGATGTGGAATACCTCTATGATGAAAATTATGAAACAAAAATAAAGTAGAAGAAGACATTAAAAGATGGAGAAAATTACCTTGTGTCCATTTCACTTAATACCTATTTTAGTGAGAAATAAAGAATAAGCAGGTTTCCTTAGCAGCAGCAATGATCTAGGAACTATAAGCTCTCTCAGTCTTAGTCCTTGACATGGGGAGTGTTTGTGGGGTGGGGGGCAAGGAGGAAAAGCACCATGGCTTAGTAGTGCAACGTCTGCATCCCATGTGGGTTTCAATTCATATCCCAACTGCTTCACTTCTATTCCAGCTCTCTGTTTATGTGCCTGGAGAAGATAGGAAAATGACACCCATCCTTGAGCCCCTGCATCCACATGGGAGACCTCAGTGAGGTTCCTGGCTTCCGGCTTTGACCTGGCCATTTGGGAAGTGAACCCTCAGTGGAATAGCTCGCTCCCTCTCTCTCTCTCTCTCTCTCTCTCTGTCTGTATTGCTGCTTTTGAAATACATTAAATCAATCTTTCAAAAAAAGAAACTTCCTTGATGAAGAAACTTAACCTCTTGGACCCTCGTATTCATCTATAAAAATCTTTGCCTATCTATTTTGCAAGACTATTATGCGAATCAGATTAGATAGTGTATATAAAAATACTTTGGCATTCATAAAATTTGATTTAGCGATAAGATATTATACTATTGCAAACCTGGATTTCCAAACAGAAAGGCTGTGAAGAATTTTCTAAAATGTATGTGTCTTATTTTATTCAGGGTACCTTGTTTTGGCTTGAGCATGTTCTGCTCTGGAATTGAAGAATTGTGTAAGATGATATTTATGCTGATAATCTTGCAGAATGAGATGAATGTGGCCACCAAAACAAAATTGTTTTAAGTTACTATTAAGAAAAAGGCAGATAATGGGAACCGATTATAAAGTCCTGATTCTGCGTGTAATGTCGTGTGATCATAGCAACTTATAAAAAAACTTTACTATCAAAAGGTATTCAAGTTTATTATTTAAATAGTCATTGCTGTTTCTTGCACTCTCACTTTCACTTTCGCAGAACTTGGAAGGTTAGGCACCTCGAAAAGGTTTGGGAAGTTTGCGTTGGAGTACTTAGAGGTGCAGGTCAGTTTACCAAGGCTCCCTGGGAAGTCCCCCTGTCAGCAGAAGTTCTCAGATCACCTTCCTTTGTCCTTTGAGAAAATAGACTGCCCCTTTCTGTGGTGCTTGAAGTAATGCTCAGAAACTGAAAACAAATAAGGATTTTTTTCTAGCTCATTTGTAGAAGGAATATTATGGAGTGATCATTAAAAATGCTTAGAGTTTAAGTCATTTGTGGCAACTTAGGATACATATGTTTTATACCTGTTACCATGCTTTTGATAATTTATAAACAATTCCGTATGAACTCTTTGGAGGGTTTCTCCAAAGAGTTATGGATTTTTCTTTGTAATAAAGTTACTTTTTTCCCCTTTTCTAAACTTTACTTTTAACATTTCGATATAGTTGAGAGAGATGTACATTCATGTTGATTAAGGTGGGGAGGTTTGAGGTGTGGAGAAAGGTGGGTGGGACAAATGTTTTCATTTTTTTTGCTCCTATGTCTACAAGGAGGGAAAGTAGGATGAGCTCCTTGCTGTTAAACTACATCAGCACCTAGAGATGAAAGGATGGTCGTTTGATGACACCTTAGAGATCGCAATATGGGAAAGTGTGTTCCAAGGATTTTACTTGAGTGGTTTTGATGATCCTGAGATGTTGTCTTTAGCTTATTGCATCAGGGTTGAGAAAATCTAAGGTCTGTTGGCTGACAAAGTACACCTCAGTATGTGTCCCCAGGGCCAGGAACACGTTTCAAAGCTTAGCCAGGAGAATTGTCTGACCTGTTCTGCTTTCCATCTCTCAGGATCACTTGATGTCCTCTGCTTTCCCAGATGACCTGGCCATCACGTTCCCTGTGTACATCTGGGCGTATTGGGGCCTGGTGCTATAGCCTAGTGGCCAAAGTCCTCACCTTGCATCCACCAGGATCCCACATTGGTGCTGGTTTATATTCCAGCTGGTCCACTTCCCACTCAGCTCCCTGCTTGTAGCCTAGGAAATCTGTGGGGGACGGCCCAAAGCTTTGGGACCCTGCACCTGTGTGAGAGAACTGAAGGAGGCTTCTGTCTATCCTGGCTTTGGATCAGCACATCTCCAGCCATTGCAGTCACTTGGGAAGTGAGCCAGTGGACTGAAGATCTTTCTCTCCTTCTCCCTGTAAATCTGACTTTCCAATTAAAAAATAAGTAAATCTTAAAAAAAAAAAAACCATCTGGGGATGTTGATCTCCGCGCATGCGTCTGCAACTGAGGAAGCCTAGTATGAGACATGCACTCCAAGGTTGGACCACATATTGTGATTTTCTCTGCAGCCCGGGTTCGAGTCCAGTGATCTGGTTGGGGAGTCCCCAAACGTCTCCTGGAGTGATCTCAGGCTTGCCCTGCATGTGCCAGTGCAGGCTCAGGTTTGTTGTCACCTGCCCGGCCAGGGCACATACTGGTAGATGCAGCTGCTCTCGCTGGCAGGTGCTGTAACCTAGCTCAAGTGGTTGCAGCCCACACCCTGTCCTGACTCTCATGCATTCAATGGGTGTAGTGGTGTGGCCCAGTCTGGCCTGTCCCCAGACCAGACTCACACAGATGCTGACTAGTGCAACAGCTTTGCCTGGCCTGGCTTGCTCCCAGCTCCAGCTATTGTGGCAGCGGCCTAGCAGAGAAGTCCCTCTACCAGGCCCAGGATCTCTAGTGGGTGTCATGGCATTGCTTGGCATGGCATGTCTTCAGTCTTGGCCTTTGCATATGCCAGTGGGTGCTGCAGTCTAGCCCAGCCCAGCCTCCTCCCAGTCCCGACTTTTGGGTTAAGTGGATTATGATTGGGTAACCTAGGTGGACCAGGCTGAGAAAAAAATCACAGAGCTCAGTCTGGCTCGTGGCTGCCTTCCAGGTTGTACATTAGTGGA